ATATATATATTCGATATAATATTACCTAATACACTTATACTTAGTGCATAGTACAGCGTAAGTATATATATAATATATATATATATATATATATACACGCTTTATATATTCGATATAATACTACCTAATACACTTATACAATTAATTTAGTGACCAAAGTTGGTCGCATAATTTAAATCAGATTTATTTATCTTTTATATAATATTTAAATTAAAAATATAATTATTAAAATTTTGAAGGTGGGTCCCACTTTAACGACCAACATTGGTCGCTAATCTCAGTAAACCTTTGACCAAGCAAGTCTGACCAGTCCAGTCAACAATTTGACTAATTTAGCGACCAAATGGCGACCAATCTTGGTCGCTAATTTGTTTCATTTTATTTATTTTATTATTTTCGCTAGTTTGGCGACCAACGTTGGTCGCTTTTCTCTTCAGACCAACTTTGGTCGCTTTTTTCCGGAATTCTAGTAGTGTATTAGCAGGGACGGATCTGCTTGACCTGCTTTCTTCTTAATCTTTTGCAATCTTAAAAATACATACGCGAGGGCTAATGCAAGAAATAGCAGACCCACTCCCAAAGGAACATACAAAACCAAGATTTCCTTCTTCCTCTTGGGAGATTTGACGACACATGGTGATACGTGAAACATAGAATCACCACAGAGAGCGTTATTGGACAAGAAAGACTGACTTGTAAAATTTGCAAAAGGACCTCCCGTGGGAATATCTCCACTGTGTTTGTTAAATGAGATGTTCAGGTATTTGAGATTCATGAGAGCTTCTAATGACTTTGGAGTATCAATATTGAGTGGAAGTCAGTCAACCACTGACGGGATATAATGTGTAAAAAACTAATCACAGTCGAACTTATTCTCAACTTTCTCTTATTATTTGTTCAAAAAGAAAGGAGGAAATAGATGATAGATGGGGTTTGGTGTGTTTCCATGTCAAATTCACTTTCCAGTAGGATGTGAATGCTGTTAACCATTCAAATGTAAAGTAATACTGTTGGCCAGCTGATGGAAACCTACTAGAAGGTGAGAAAATTAACTATCTTTTTATTTTATATTGCTTTCTTTTTCTTGTTACTAACAAAAAACCTCTCAAATACACAAAAGATCTGTGCGCGTCGATTAATCTGTTGAGTAGTCGTGGTACTCAACGGTCGTGGGCTAATACCACAGAGTATGTTACAAGATTAGCGCCAAAGCTCTTAGGAAAAAAGGTTAACTACCTCCAATTAAGCACTGTTTATCATCATTTATACTCCTACAGTTATTAGCCATATCTATAAGCCAGGAGTGAAAACTGGAAAATGGCATTAGCGACCCTACAGGCAACAAGTCTCATTTACCATGCTGAAATGTGCCAAAAACACCAACCGGAATTTCCTATTCTTGACAATATACGATATGTGCACAAAAGGTCAACCTGGTGCTAATCTTTTCTGGCCAGTCGTGGCGGCGTTGCATTTTTTATTTGTAAGTTGACTATATGATGAACCTGGTACGTAGTCTCAGAAGAGCCCAAAATTTCTAAACATGCTTTCAGGGTTGCTGCAGTATTGAGGAAAATGTCTCTTTTGCTAAAAAATACTGAAAATCCTAATCTTTCTGGTCAGTTGTGGTGTTGCATTTATAGTTTGAACTGATTCTCCAAAAAGTAATTTTAAATGTCCTTTGTTTATTGCTTATGCTTTTTAATTGTTGATTTGGTTAAAATATACTATTGCTTTAACTAATGCATAATGGTGACATCATAGAACTTTAAGGGCTGCCCGGTGCACTGAACTCCCACTGTGCGCAAGGTCCGGAGAAGGGACGGACCACAAGGGTCTATTGTAGGGGTGGCAAAATGGTTAAAAAAAGACAGCTAACCACCTATATTATCCACTAAAAAATGGGTTGGATAATGAATTTTTTAAAAACGGGTCAAATATGGATAAGAGCAGGCTACGAGTTAGGACTTCCTTCTCTTCCAGTGCTATTGGTGAGCTCCGCTTTTGTTCGTGGGGTATTCCTTAGAGTCATCTTTATTTAGTTATTTCTTTGTTTACTTAGAGAACTGTCCAGGAAATCTCATGTCCTGAGCAGTGTATCAGTTTATCAGTAGAGGTTTCATAGACATAGTCGTTGGGTTAAGATTTAGATGTTTTTTTTATAATAACTTAGTAGTATTTCATTTGTTACTATGAATAAAGTTTTGGATTTGATTTATTTAAATGCTTAAATTAAACAAAAGTATTTGGTTAGAGTATTGCCTTGTTGCATATAAAGTTTGGAGTTATAACAGATTTGATAAGCAGAGATGGTTCGCTCGGTCATGTTTAGTGATCGAGTGCCGGTCCCGTCTTGTTCAGAAAATGGGTCGTGACAAACTTGGTATCAGAGCCTCAGGTTTATGGAGTCCTAGGGATCTATGAAGCCGTGTTAGTAGAGTCTTGTTTATGGGTATGAAGCGCGCCATACTTATAAACAGGAAGCTACAAGCATTTAGGAAAAGTCTTTTTTTTTCATAGTTTAGATCGTGCAGTAGAGTCTGCCTCTAAGAAATTATCTAATTTATTCGTTTCTCCAAAACTCGCAGAAATGGCTCGTACTCGCAACTCTGACACCGACACTCAGGATGTTGCTCAAGAAACTCTTGCTACTATTGTGGCCCAAGGCAGAACTAAAAAGGCTTCAACCCAGAAAAGGAAGAGTAAATCTACAGAGGGGGTTCAAGTACCCCGGGTTGAACATGAGAAAGGGGTAGAGCATAATGATCCAGTACTTCAGGATCCAGTACCGCCCCCAACAGCAGCTCCGGCTCAGA